TTCTTTCCCATTCTGACATTCAGTTTGGAGTTCAGGAGATTGTCTTGACCAGGACCACACCCCTAAATGCATTGAAGCAACTGCCATGTGATTGGTGGATTAGATAATTGCATTAATGAGAAATTAAACAGGTGTTCCTAATAATCCTTTAGGTGAGTGTACTTTGCAGCAACGTCATGGTAAACCAGCGTTCGAAAGGTCCCTAAGCCCCACCCTACGTGATATGTTAGCGCCCCCTAGAGATTAGGCTGTGATTATGACCCACTTTAAATTCTACATTTTCCTGTAAGTTGTTTTAAACCGTTTTAACCTGTCAGAACACCGCCGACAATCGATAATGGCACGCACACTATTTGTATTATACAAAGCCCAATTTCTGGATTTTTTTATTGTAAATGTAAAGTAGAAAAGGTGAAAAGGGAAAACATTGATAGCTTTTAATATAACAACAATGCAATGATATCCCTGCCACTAAAATTGCTAGAAAAATATGTAACAAATACTGTTGTGCGGACTCAATACGCCTTTTATTATGGACCGTTATTACAGGACAATGCCTCTGTTACTGCACCGTGAAAAACAAAGCCCGTGCTCAACATTCCACACATGCGCGTTATTAGCCCAACTTTCTAAATCGTGACGTATTCAAGTAAAGATGGCGGCTCTGAGAAATTTCTCTGTATGTTTGCGCCTGAAAACCGGACCCTTAAGTGCTGGGTTTTTCAGAGAGGTCTGCAAACCAATTCTGTCACCTGAGAGGCGATATGCCATTAACACGGCAGTGAATAGTGAGTACAGTTTCTGTACTTTCCGTTTAAGGACGGACGTATCTTTCCCTACCCTCTGTAGGCTATTGGCTCTACAGCTAGCAGTGGAGGTCAGACATGTGCATGTGCTGATAGAAACCTTATGCGTAAATATTCCCCTTCACTAGTATAAAATGTCTCTAAATTTAATCTAGAAGTTTCACTATGGTTCACTTATTTCGTAAATTTCTGTTGAATACACGTATTTAAAAGTATTGTTAAGTTTTATAAATGGTTAAAATAATAAGTTTAATAGCAACATTTAGCAACTTTCTAGACGTTATATTATTCGTGCTGAGAAATAGTGATTATTCTCTGCGTTTATTTTTCAGTTAAGATAGAACGGTGGAGATCTGCGTGGTTTTCACAAGCATGTGGATTGCGTAATCAGTGCAAAACAACACGAATCAGTTCTTTTATGCCGTTTAGGTATCCCAGGCACAAGTCACTGAACCACTGCTGTTGAATTACACGGTTTAGATGAGGCTCCTCATTTGACTGAACTCTTTGGCACTTTATACATTGTAAAGGTTTAGTTTTTCCACATCGTGGGTCAACCAGATATTGATATATTTATGATATTTTCATGCTTCTTCCTTTAGACCTACATTTTAAACTCGATGAGCGGACGGCACACAGTAGCTTGGACCTCTTCAAGAAGGACACGGGTGTCATCTACCGTATTCTCGGTTTGGACCCAAGCCTGGTTATGGATAACCCAGAGCGGTTCCGGGACTGGGCTGTGGTGTTTGGAGATTGCCAGGTCACAAGTGGGCGCCACTACTGGGAGGTGACTGTACGCAAATCGGAGGAGTTCAGGTTGGGGGTTGCTGAAGCAGGGATGGCAAGGGATGAGTGTGTTGGCACCAACAGCAGCTCCTGGGTCTTTGCTTACTCTCAGCGGAAGTGGTACGCCATGACTACCAATAAGATGGTGCCTTTGTCGGGTGTGGGCAAGCCCGATCGTGTGGGCCTATTGTTGGATTATGGGCTGGGCCTCTTGGGACTGGTGGATGTCCATAAGCCCCAGGTGATTCACTCGATTCGGGCTCAGTTTAGGGCACCCCTTTGCCCTGCATTCGCACTTTGGGATGGAGAGTTGCTCACACACTCTGGTTTGGAGGTTCCACAGGGTCTGGACTGATGACAGGGCGTTTTCCAACGAAATGTCCAGGAAAAACCAATTGAGGAATGGGTCAGCATTGCAGCGGGACTCAGTATGGGATGAGAAAAATGAGAAGAGAATGTATATTGTGACTGTCTTGGCAGTGTGAAATGGACAGATACAGGAGTGGCATTACAGTGTTGTCACAAGCTCCCCACAAAGCAAATATCAGCCCCAGCACAAGGGGTCAAGCTTGGTTCAGAAAATGAACTCACCCTGCATAAACTGGCAACTGGGCACACAGCAATTGATTTTCTGAGTGCTTACCAGGTTCAGATGTTGTATTTACTTAACTGCGAAATGTGAAATGTGAAATGTTTAAAGAAATTGAAAACATTTAAAACTACATTATAGGTGTTGCCTGAGGCTAGTATTCAGGGTTGAAAATTAAGAAAGAGATGTTTTGTGTTGTAAAATCAAAATGAAGGCAATATGAATGTGGAATCTTTCTTGGACCTGATAAAATGGCTTAATATAAACAACTGTACTTTGTTGGTCTTTATATTGAAATATCGTTTTTGCATGCATTACTTCTGGTTTATTGCAGTGAAGGCTCTGCCATTTATAAAAAAAGGCAAGTGAAAATGGATATTCTCTTTTGGAATAACATCGAGCCGCCAAATAATGTAATCAAAGTGTCTTTATAGATAACTACAGACAGAGTAAAATTATGTAATATAATAGAAACAGATATAGAGGTGGAAAGTTCAAGGCAAAACAGATATTTATGTACCTTTTAGTTGCACAGGAAAAACAACAGTTCAGCTACTCGTACCTGAATAAGCTCTCTTGGGCTGATGGTTGGTAATCTATGCCAACCAAATTGCCCACTTTCTCTCTTTGTTCTTTTTAGACTGACTGCAGCTGTGCAGATCAAATTCAGTCTTCAGAAGATTATTTGAATATCTAGCTACATGACTATTTTAGATGGTGTGAACCTGACAATACCTATGTAGAATTCAACCAGTGGTGAGCCCATTGAAATGCAGCTGAAACCAGTGAAATAAAATTGGTAGGAAGAAGGCTTTCTGTGAGTTAGTTCATCATTAAAAAAATAATAAGAAATGATTGATTTAGATGGGGTCCATAAGCCAGGATTTATCTGTTTAATAATGTTAAGGGAGCTCTATCCTGGAGCCTCACAAGAGTATGAAAGGGATGCATTGCTCTTGAGACTCAGGACTCTAAAATGATACAGAAGCAGTCAATATACTCTTTCTTGGCTTTATTAAGACCTTCATAAAATCTTAACTTGAACCCACTACCCTTGGCTTGAAAGCAGCAAGGTTCGGTTGGTTTATATATAAGGACAGAAAGGGCAACTACTGGTTACTATCTCACTTGATACTGTTGCATTCTGATAACATTTCTGGACTCCCACTGCACCTCGGCTCACATTGCCACTGGTTAATTTGCCTTGCCATGGAGACTAAAGTGTGCTATATTTTTCTGGCACTCATTTCGGCTATGACTGGCATGAGTCAGCCTCTCCTGGATTTTGAAATTGATGAAAAACTGCAAACTGTTACTGAGGAAAACCTTGTGGATCAGCTGGCCAAGTTGCTGGTAAGATATTTTTTCTTTCTTAAATACATAATGTGTAGGTATTGCAAACTTGGTATCTCCCAATAAAGGGCAACCTAAGATAGAAACTATTATTTTCTTACACACTACCCATTGTCTGCTGTTTTGACTTAGAACTCCAATTTTTTTTTTATCAGAAAAAAGATCTTATGTTCAACATTATTATACTTTAGTGTAGATGTATCTGATGGGAAAATAATAATGAGCAGAAGTCCTCTCTCCAGTGCTCTAATTGTGTGATTGGTCAATGCATGAACAGCACAATAACAGAAACCAAATGTATTTTAGGACCGTGAAAATCATGGAAATTCTGAAGTAAAAGAGTATATCCTGACTCTCCTGCAGTCTTTTTTCCAAAAATCCTCAAGTCGTGATCCTGGCCGTTCTATATCCTACCAGGCAAAGAGGTCAGTCCCATACAGCCCATAGCATATGGTAAATTCCATGGTCATAGAAAGCACTTGTGAAACATGATAGCAGTTGCTGGTAACAATGTAACTTAATGTCGTCTTCTGAGTGAATGTCCTTAGTGACAAGAGTGTCACTCGGGATTTGTGAAGCATTTACTAGGGAGGCCTGTCATAAATGAAAATGAATGAGAACACTATTTAAGCCGATTATGAACATTTATTTGGAGGGGATAAAGAGCATTTTAGAGGGTGAAAAGCCCCCGATTAGTGATGCAAGGTTGGCTGTTTGAATGCTTCTTTGCCATTTGTATCCAGGTCCGTACGTGAATCAATGGCTGCTGTGAACGGCAATGGATTCCTCCCGCAGTTTTGGCAAATGGCGATGCCGCAAAGGTTTGGAAAAAAGTAACATGGCTTTCAAACCCACATAAAGTCCATCCATTCTGTTTGTTTTACTCAAGACTGGTGGACGGAAGGCAAGCAGCAAATTAACATAAGCAAATGATCATACTTTGTATAACATTCAACTTGCACTTCCAATAAAGCTTGAAAATTACATGCTCATGTAGACTTGTTTTTTTTTGTATTGAATTGTTTCTTTCTGAATTGTGGTACTGGAGTCCACATACGAATGGACTCGATCTTGTCAATTTTTACTCGGTCTTGACTCAAACTCGCTTAATAATGATTCGAAAAACTTTCCTAAGTCCATCTGAGTCCATATCGTATGTATACTGATGTAATGTATAAAAACATTGTTTTATTCAAGACATCCAGTAAAAGGAAGCACACTGTCGAATGCAAGTATTGCAACTCATTGATTACTGAAGTGATCGGTACGACTTCCAATTCCTGCTGACATATGGAAAGGCAACATAAAGACAGATGTAATGCTTGCGAACACTTTTCAAGAGGCAATGACTGGTCAAGTGTCTTGGCAAAATTTGTTTCCCAGCTAGCTATTATAATAATAATCATTGTGTTTTATTTAACCCTGTCAGAAATTCTGTTCTTCATGTCGCCCACCTTGGTCTCCCGAGAGAGACTGCTGAGAGTGGAGTCTGGAAACATCGGCGTTTAGCAGCCCTGGAGTAGTTATGTTTAAAGATCTTACTTAAAGGGTTAATGGTGATGCCATTGATCTGCCCGGAGTGGGAATCAAACAAGCAGTTTTTCAGACACTGGAGTCTTAATCCCCACTGTGCACATTTAAGCCACAAAACGCTTACAATACTTGTGTTGTCCCAGTCGTCGTAGGTATCACACATATTGTGTTAGAGTAAATCTGCCACTGAACATTCGTTTGTACTTACAGTATAAGTAAATTACAAAATGTTTAATGAAAAGTTTGTTAAATAAAAAATACATTGAAAGAAACCTTATTGTTTTATGCATTTTTTTTGTTCCACAACCAATTTTAAATGGATTTAATGGAAGAAGTAAAACATCTCAGGAGGCAAAATGAGGAAAATTATAAGAAAATTCTTATGTTGGAAGGACGAGTGTCTGAGCTGGAACAATTTTCAAGAATGAATGAAGTGATTGTGACAGGACTGGAAACTATGCACCGGACAAATGCGAGGGTTACAGTAACAGAAAATGAGGACCCGTCTGAGCACGAGCTAAACTCCTTAGAGAAGCAGGTAATTGACTACTTTGGTAGTAAGTGTATAAAGGTGGTAAGCAAGGATATAGAAGAGCGCAGACTGCTACCAAGAAAAAATAAAAACCTGAAACCAGCCATTATCATGAGATTTGTGAATAGAAAACAGAAGAAAGAACTGCTTATGCAGGGGCGTAAGCTGAAAGGAAGAAATGTATATATAAATGAACATTTAACTAAGAAAAAGACTACTAAAAAAGCAGTAGAAAATACAGTTAACTTGGACATCAAATTGTAAGGTATTCATTAAGTTGAATGGAACTCCAGAACAGGCAAAAGTGCTTGTTATAAAAGAGATGACAGAACTAGAAAAATACAATTAACAAATAAGGTTGAATTAGTTAAGATGAGGTGATAGATAGGATGATATTCTTGATAAGATGTGTGATGAAGGGAAATAGGTTAAATATTATAATTAAGATGATAATTTGAATATTACTAGATATATAAACTTAGATAATAGGTTAATGGAGTGTGATAGTAATATAGACCCCGATTATAATATTCTTAATATAAAAATGAATCATTGCACTTATTGTACAGAAGAACAATATAATATGAAGATAAAGGTAGAAAAGAGGGGTGGCACTGTATATTAATAAAAAAATAAATTACAAAAGAGTGGATAGGATGACAACTATGGTTAGTGGAGTAATGGAATGTATAACTGTAGAAATCAGAATGGAAGGAAAGAAAAAGATAATTGTTAGTTGTATATACAGAACACCAGGAACTAAGATTGAGACTTTTAATAATATTATGGAGGAGTTATTCACTAATTTAAATCAGAAAAGGATGTTTATATGTGGGGATTTTAATATTGATTTGTTGAACTCTAAACATAATAAAAGTATATATGAATTTGTAGATACCATGCATTGCATGGGTTTATTTCCCCTGATAACAAGACCAACTAGAATAACAGCACACTGTGCAACTTTAATAGATAATATATTTATGAACATAATGGAAGAGAATATAGATTGTGGGGTATTAATCAATGATGTAAGTGATCATCTACCAGTTTTTGCAACTTATAACTGTCATTATAATGTCAACAGAGAAGAAAATACTATTATGTATAAAATAATTAGGGCAGAGAAGACGTTAAATACTTTAAAAAATGAACTTCAAAAGCAAGATTGGGAAATTGTATATGAACAAAATGAAGTCAATAAAGCATATGAAACATTCTTAAGGATATTTAAAGTTCTACTTGATAAAAACTGCCTAGTAGTTGAAAATAAGAGGAACTGCAAGTATGTTGGAAGACCGTGGATGACTAAGGGATTACAAAATGCCAGTAAGAAAAAGAAAACACTTTATCACGATTTCATAAAATCTAGAACTACAGAAGAAGAAAATAAATATAAAAAATATAAAAACAAGTTTACTAATATAATGAGAACTTGTAAACGAGAATATTTTACGAAGAAGCTAGATGATAATAAAAATAATATAAAAGGCATGTGGAAGGTATTAAATAGTATAATAAAAAATGGAAAGAGGAACAATAATTATCCTCAGTTTTCTAATGAAAGTAAACAAAATAATGGTTCTATTCAAGACATGAATGAAGTAGTAAATGGGTTTAATGACTTTTTTGTAAATATAGGACCGAAATTGGCAGAGGAAATAAAAGTTGATGGGATTGAAATGGATGCTGCAGATTATGTGGAAATAAATAATAGCTCAATGTTTTTAAGACCAGTGGATGAGAGAGAAATGTACGACATTGTCAGTGGATTTAAAAATAAATCTAGTAGAGACTGGAATGATATTGATATGATAACACTGAAGAGTGTTATTGGTGGCATTGTAAAACCATTAACCTATGTTTTTAATTTGTCTTTTCAAACGGGGGTATTTCCACAAATGATGAAAGTTGCAAAAATAATTCCCATCTACAAAGAAGGAGATAAGAATAAATTTACAAATTATAGGCCAGTGTCAATACTTTCTCAAATTTCTAAAATATTAGAAAAATTGTTTTTAAAACGACTGGAAAGTTTTGTTTATTAAACAGGATTTGTTAACAGATTGTCAGTATGGATTTAGAAATAATAGATCAACAGAATTAGCACTGATTGATTTAATATAAGAAATAACAGAATGTGTGGATAAGAAGAAGTACTGTATGCAATTGGAGTATTTCTAGATTTAAAGAAAGCTTTTGATACTGTTAATGATGAGATAATGATAAAATGGAGAAGTTTGGTTTCAGGGGTATAGTGTTGGAATGGATTAAGAATTATATAAGGAATAGGCAACAATTTGTGCAAATAAATAAATATACATCTAGATTGATGAATATTGCATGTGGAGTACCTCAAGGATCTATATTAGGGCCAACACTGTTTATTATGTATATAAATGATATTTGTAAAGTATCAAAGATATTAAAATGGGTACTATTTGCAGATGATACAAACATTTTCTGTTCAGGTGAAAAATTGCAACAGGTTCTGGAGGTGATTACAAAGGAAACAAATGCAGTCAAAAAGTGGTTGGATATAAATAAATTGTCTTTAAATAAAACTAAATTTATGTTATTTGGAAATCATAGATGAAATATAAAAGTAGAAATATGTATTGATAAGGTGTATATAGAAAGAGTAAATGAAATAAAATTTCTTGGTGTCATATTGGACCATAAAATTAGTTGGAATTCACACATAAATCATGTGAGGGGGAAGTTGGCACGGGGCATGGCGATCCTGGGGAAAACAAGGCATATTTTCAGCCAGAAAGCACTTTATACATTATACTGCTCTTTATTACAACCATATCTTAGATATTGTGTAGCGGTCTGGGGAAATACATATAAAAGCAGAATAAGTACAATAACCATAATGCAGAAAAGGGCCATTAGAATGATAAACAATGTAAGGACCACACTAATGAAATAATGAAATTCCCAGACTTGGTTGAATTTAAAACAGCGCAAATAATATATAAAGTAAGAAATAACTTACTTCCAAAAGGAATACAGAAATTATTTACGAAGAGAGAAGGGGAATATAGTTTAAGAGGAGGTCTGAATTTAAAAAGGCATAGTGTTAGAACAACGTTAAAAAGTATGTGTATCTCAAGAGCTGGGGTGAAATTATGGAATAGTCTAACAGAAGAATTAAAAAAAAGTACAAATATAACTCAGTTTAAAATTAGTTATAAATAAATATAAGGATCTGAAACATGGGTTAAACCAGGGCGGTAATTGACGAAGGAAAAGAGCTGTCATTTTATTTTATTTTATTTTTTTGTTTCGTTATAAAAAATTTGTGAATTGCTCTTTTTTTTGGTGGGGGGGGGGATTGGTGTGTTTGGTAGAATAGCTGGTTTTGTTGCAAGGTTTATTTATTTAGTTGTTGTTGTAATTTGAAGGAGGTTAATTTTGAAGTGATATGGTATGAATGGGGTAGGACCAAATAAGTTTACACTTCTGCCTACTCCTTTTCAAGCAAGGAAATCAAAAAGTGTAATATTATGATGGAAAATGTGGAAATGTTTTTTTTTGGTTGTTTGTTTGAAATAAATAAAAATGAATGAATTAATAAATGTATTCAGTATGATAGTGTCATGTTACAGTGAAAATAATTGCTCCTGGATGCAGTGGAGATCTGTTTCTGTTACCTTTGTAGTTCATTGTCAAAAAACAGTTCATTGCTTTACCTAGTTATCTTACACTTGGCCTCCATCCGTGATAACCTCAGTTTGAAGGAAAGGATTGAAAAAAGACTAAAAAGCATTTTTAAGGTAGTTAGCAGTAAAGTAATCAAATATCATAAACATAGAAGAGGGTGCACAAAATATCAGGTAGATGTCTGAAATAGCCTAGAAGGTAGCCTTGTGTGTAATACGCTGTATGTGGGTAAATGTTTAAGGGGAAAAGA